TTTATCAAAATGGAATATTAATAACTTTCAAAAAATATATATATATATATAAGCGAAAGGGTCATTTATACTTCATTAATACAATTACTCAGGCATAAAATTATATATAATCTCGTCAAAATTTTTGTTAAAATAACTCAATAATATAGTTGTCATAATTTTTGCAATAAAAGCAAATAAAAAAAAAAAAAAAAACACTAGATCTAAAAAAAAGGATAATAATTGAAATTATGCTATAAAGCTATATTTTATTATTCTAAAAACATTACTTTTCTAGTTCAAACTATATACATAACTTTCTATTTCACATTTTATATCTAATTTTATGTAAAACTGATCAAATATACACGGGAAGATTTTTAAAAACAGAAAGTATCGTTTACTTTCCAATTTAAAATCAAATTTATTTAAATCGGACAACTACAAAATTTATTGTAAATATTTATTTATTGTCTATTTTCAGTAAAAAAAAAAACGACAAATCAAATTTTTCTCTATGAGAAAATGAGGAAGAAAAGAAATTCACTTTCTTTAAAGTATTTTTATTTATTTTTTTTTTTTGCTTTAAATTTTGCTTATTTACATAAATGTCAAATAATTTTGTTATGGTTTTCTGTTTATTTTTTTTTACGGAAAAAAACGAGAATAGGGTTTGGACTTTTGCACTTAAGAAAAAAAAAGAACCGGCTTTCCGGATTGTCTGGAACATTTGCATATCCCAGATGGAAAACGAGCTACTCGAAACCACGAGAAGCAACCGATAAGTGGATTTAACAGCGGCTTTCTAAATTGCCGCATTCTTGCCATTGGTATTTGACGTTGAAGGAAACCAATTTCAAATTATCTTATTCCTTTATTTAATGTTTTTTTTTTTTTTTTCATTACATTTATATTATTTACTTTTCTTCTACAATTTGTTTTACATAAAGTTCCTACATTTTTCACATATTCTATTATGGATTTTCACTTAATTTTTCAATTTTGAAAAAAATATTATTCTTAAATTTTCACTCGATGTGAAATTGTGTCGAAATCTTTAGAAATATCTCTGTATAGAAAATGGAATGAGATGATGCTTATAATCTTTTACCGTGGCACCTTTCAGTTTTCTTCTTTGCAAAGAACTTTTTTTTCTCCCCCTAATGATGGAGGGTACCTGTTCAAAGTTGCTCTCCAACTCCGCCCATTTGAGCTGAAGGAATTTCTTTTAGTGATTTGAAAAAAAGGAGGCGGAAGAAGCATCATAACTTGAATCTTTTGTTGTTTTTCTTTTTTTTTTTGTTTCTTGCTATTACGTCAATTTTGTTGCAAATAAAAAAAAACAACAACTTTGCAGTCAATTCTTTTTGCATTTTTTAAACGTTTTTTTTTATAACTTTAATAAAAAAAACTGTTTAAAAATGCAAAAATGTTTCAGATTTAAAAAACAAAAAATATTTATGTCCCTCATGAGTCAGTTATGAAAAAAAAATCCAAGGATGTCTTAGTTACTGTATATAATTCAATAAATATATAATTATTTTTAATTATCTTAATTATCTTAATTATCATTATAATTTTATTAAAGATTTTTCCTTAAAGTCAGTATTTTTTGAATAAATTATAATTTTACGTTTTGTTTACTAGTTGCCTGTAAATTTAATTTAGTTTCATATTGTGGTAAATTCTTTTTTCTATAGAAAAATATATTTAGAAATGTTGCAAAAAATAAGGGGCTATAAAAATTCTTAATTTTATTAATATTTTATTCAAATTTATTTGCATTATTTAAAATGATAAAAAAAAATATTACTGATGAATCAGTGGACATTTTTTTAAAAATTCCACAACTCGTTTTTATTTATTTACATGAATACGGTTGACTATTAATAATATTGCAAAATATGGAATTAAATCTTAATTTTTTGCCGACGAAAAAATATTATATAGAACTATTAAAAATTAAAGTAATTAGTATTTTCTAAATTGTTGAAGAATTAATTAATGGTAAAAAAAAAATGTGAAAATTATCTCATATATGTTATTGATTGCAAATTTAATCTACACACGATACAGTGGAGATTATATATTACTTTCGAACGGCATCTCGAGCGTTACGGGTCAGCGATCAATGGGAATCTGGAATTTGGTGCGTCGCAAAAGTATGCGAGAGGTACGCCTTGTGAAAATACCTGTAGCACTGCAACTCTTATGGAAATACCTTCAAGTAAAATCATTCTCTCTTTTTCTCAGTTCCCTTTCCTTCTTAGATTGCCAATCATTATTATATTTATTTTTGCATTCAAAACCTTCTCCAAAAAAAAGGGGGAAAAAAAAATTCCAAATTCTTCTCGACTGTGAAATTAGATTTAGTTTTTTTTTTTTTTTACTTTTTTTATTCCTCAAAAATTCGTTATTTTGAATTTCTATTGAATTGAATTTTATTTTTCATTACAGGAAATTTAAAAATTGGAATACACGAGGAGAATCTCAGAAATATCAGTGATTATTTGTCAGATCAATTTGTAACCGCATAATATAACCGCACATGTATGTGCTTCTATCTATGGGGAATTAACTTGCGGTAGTTAAATTTATTCCTGACATTTGAGAAGAACGTGGCAGGTGTCGAATAATATAACAAATGCATGTCACATTAATCAAAGATTTTCCTTTTATTGTTAAATTTCTTAAATATAAAAATTTATTTTCTATTTAATTATTTTTTAAAATAAAATAAAAAAAAACTTGGAAAATAATTTTCAATTTTAAATAACCATAAAAGTAAAAGGAATAATAATTTTAATATTAATTAAATACAATATAATATTTTCAAAAAATACAAATTTAAAATTAGAAATTTTTTTAATTATTAAATTAAAAATGTAATTAATTAATTTAATTAAATTTTATTGACGCATCTGAAATGACAAGCGGAATATATTTATAACGGTAGAAAATCAATCATATAGTCAAAGCTATTCAGTAATTTTACACTGTGTGAAATCGAATGTTTGAACAGGCCATATGAGAAATTATCGTATAACAGAGTAGAAGAAAGTTGAACTGCAATTCTATAAGACCTTGCAACAGGTGAAGATTTTTTTTTTCCCCAGGTATCAATAAATATATATATAGATCGCAAAAGGGGATGAATGGTCTTTGAGAAATGAAAGGAAGGATTTGCACGTATTTACTCGCACGTAGATCATCGGTTACCTGGCGTGTTTCAAGCAAAGTAACTAGAGATAACGGTAAAAGGGAAATCATTTTAAGTGTCGCATTGCATTCCATCGTACACACATGCATTTAACAGCTATATACATATATGCATACATAATTCTAATGGCTAATGAACCTTTTAATTGTCCACTAAATTATTTTTCAATTCATTTGTTTTTCCAAATATTTAAGATAAAAATTAACTTAATACACTGTTTGCTGATAACATTATCTTCAAATAATTTTTAAATACAAATTTATATAGAATTTCAAACAATTAGAAATTTTTAACAAAAATTAAAAAATAATATTTTTCATAAATTTTTTTTTTTTTTTTGCAGCAGTTTTGTTTTATTTTGCTCAATTTTGAAAATTTTTATTTACAATTTAATTTTCATCTCAGTAAATAGATCTTTTTGCTTTAAATAAAAAAAAAAAAAAACAATACTCTTTACAATTTTAGAAAAAAATTGATTTATCCTCACGTTTCAATTGATCATTGAAACAATAAGAACACAAAAAAGTTCCTTCGATAAATAAAATGTTGAGTAAAAAGGAAATCAAGCTCTGATTCGAAGGAAACGCGTCAGTTTTTTTTTTTTTTTTTGATACTTCAATACGTGACTTTGAACTATTTCTTTAAAAAAAAATTCATTTCATACTTTTTTGTTTATTTTGTATTGAGAACATTACGAGGGAACTAATTTGTTATTATAAAAATAATACTAACAAACAGTAATAATAATTATTAATAAATAAATTAAGTTCTTTACTAATTTCAATTTATGAGAATAATCGTGAGATTTCATTTCTTTTCGATAATATTGTTTTTGCAACAGTAAAGAAACATTATTATTATTTTTTTTTTTTTACTCAAAAAAGAAACGATAACAGAGAATTGTTGGTCTTAGTATTATCGATACGTCGTCTACAGTCAATCAGATTCACCTGTTCTGTATTTGTAAGCAGAGAGTGAATCATCAAGTTGAATTCAGAGGCGTCAATATCATTACAAAACCTCTCATTATTCATCGGCGCATTTCCGTCGCATTCCCAAGAATTGAAGTCTATGTTCATTCGAAAATTTAGCTTCATATAAAATAATACAATGTCATCTGGGTAATAAAAAATGCTAATACCTGATTTAAAAAAAAAAAAAAAGAAATTAATGAAATAGGTTTCTGTGTTAGTAAAGAATCTTTATATTCTATTTTTAATATTCAAATTAGAATTGTGAAATGTTTTGTAAGAATATATGATGTTTTATTGGAGGTGTATATTAAATAAATATTTAATTTCTAATGAATTGAAATTGAGATGCGATATTAACTTGAGAATGTTGTCGTGGAGAAATGAAAAAAAAAAAAAAAAATGAAGAAGAAATTCTATTGACAAGAATTTCTCAAAAGGGTTTGAAAAATGGGAAAGCAGAACTCTAAGAAATGATTTTAAGGTGAATGGAATTTTATTTCACTGAGCTGTTGGCTTTCTTGTTACCAAGTACGGCCCTCTGACCCGGTGCCGGATACGACATGGCGTGCAAACATTGCCTGTAAAACCAACTTCAAATTATATTCTTCTGCTTCATTTTTGCATTTTAATTAAATTTTTATTTTATCTTTCATTTCGTCTTCTTCGTCATCTTTATGGCGAAGTTTTTTTTAATTAAAACTTCAGTTGAATTTCAATAGTACTCTGTTTCTTCATTTTTTTTTTAATTTAAAAATAATGGACATTTTTTAGTATTATAAATAAACAATTAAATGCGAAAAATAAAAATGTAAATTTTTATGTTACAGATTAACGGGAAATTAATAAAGATGCCTTATTATAACAGTGGCCACGGACCTGTAGCCTACAATAAAGGTATATAAATAATTATTTTATTTTTTCAACTTTATGATTTTTTTAAATTTTAAATCTAAATATTATTTTACTTGATGAAAATTATTCAAATAAATTTATTGTTTGATTTTTATTTTATTTTCATTCAGATGGGAATTCAAGTGGTCCATCGAGCACATCCGGAGGACAAGTTGGTGCACCGGAACCAACTTACATTATGGAGCATTTGGCCACATTCACAGTGACCAAAGAAACTGGAATAGTTTATCCAGCTGATGGTATGCGACGTCTTTTACAACTGGAAAAAAGTAACGGTATTTGGAGTCAGAAGATGCAGCTTCGCCTCGAGCGAAATTGGGTTCTCATCATGGATAACGAAACTGGGGTAAATTTTTCATCTTTCAATCAATTTTTTTTCATTAAATTTTTTTTCATATTCATTAAAAATCAATTTTTTTTTTTAAATCAATTTCTAACAGAATAGAAATTTTTTTTTAAATCGAGATTTCTCGGCAAAATTTATCAACAAAGAGACAATGAAGTTTAATCGATTTAAAGTCAATAATCTTTTTTATTATTATCAATCATCAGTGAGTTAACGACTGTAATTTTCTCTTCTTTCAGGCCGTCATGGAGAGATTTCCTGCGTCTTTGATACAGGAACCTACGGCCTTCACGTCACGCGATCCCATGGAAATGTACAACAATATATTGGTCTTCACCGTAGGCGAGGACGGTGGTTCTGGCCAACGAGCTGAAATGCACATCTTCCAATGTCAAAGTGTTTCCGCTGAGGATCTCGTGGAAGACCTAAAGATGTTACAAATGGGCAAATTGGTACCTGGAGGATCGCCTCGAGGTCCCCGGGGTCATATTCCACCACCTCCAGCATTACCGCCACCAGAACCACCATTAAATGGCGTTAATGTTCGAGAGCAAGTCTCGGCATTCAATGCCGCTAATAGTAAGTATTTTTCAATTTCTCTCCTCGCTGCTAATTACTGGTATTAATGATACTCTCGAAAGCTTGCTCACTTTCTTTCTTGTTCATCAGAAAAAAAAACCTGCAGCCTTTCTTTTTCAACAATTTTTTTTTTTCTAACTTTAAAATATTTTACTTTTTATGAATTTTAATTTATTTCAGATGATGGTCACAATGATATATCACGTGACGAAAACAATGACGAAGTATCGTCCACGTCGTCAGAAAAATATGAACGCGATGTGACAATTTTAAATCATTGCTTTGATGATATTGAGAAATTTATAGCGCGTCTACAGCATGCAGCAGCCGCATCACGCGAATTAGAACGAAGACGTCGTAATAGAAAGACAAAAAAACGTAATTTAGGCGATGGAATGTTGACAATGAGAGCAAAACCACCACCTGAAATTGAGTTCATTGATATTTTTCAAAAATTCAAATTATCCTTTAATCTCTTGGCAAAATTGAAGGCACACATTCATGATCCAAATGCACCTGAATTGGTGCATTTTCTCTTCACTCCATTGGCACTTATTGTCGATGCATCACATGATACAAATTATGATCCAAATCTACCGAGTAAAGTTGTATCACCATTATTAACGCGTGAAGCTGTTAATTTGTTGATAAATTGTGTGAGTAGTAAGGAAACTGAACTTTGGCATTCATTGGGCGATACGTGGTTAGTGACAAGGAATCAATGGAAAGGACACGTGCCACCTTATCATCCAGTTTTTATGGACGGTTGGTCACCGGAATATCCAATTCCCGAAGATCGTGACAATGATCATCTCAATTCACTCCTACATGCCGATAAACAAAAGAGGGATGATCTTCCCGAGGCGCAAAATGACTCGTACTACAATCACAGGTTTTTTTTTTTTACTTTGTATAAAAATATTTTTTTTTAAGGGAATGAAACAATAAAAATTGTTTTTTTTTTCTCAGGGATATCGATGAGTCTCACTACAGTAGCGATTACCTCGATTACGAAAGTAGAGAAGAACGTGGTAATGTGGAATATTTTGATAGAAATTATGGACCAGCACCGGAGCTTTATGGACGTGAGGAGAGGGAAAGAGTCGTGGATCAGACACGAGCTCACAGTGACATATCGGTTGATTCGATCGAGAGAGGTCCACGTGGTGTACCAGGTCACGAGAGGGCTCAAGAAGCATGGTTGGATGATCTTTTAACACGTCACGCGAAAATCGTGCAGGTAACTTATCCACGTACGGCGAACAACGACAAGGAACTCACTGTCGTGAGGGGCGAATATCTTGAGATTCTTGACGACAGCAGGAAATGGTGGAAGGCGCGAAATTCACGTGGACAAGTAGCTCATGTTCCTCACACTATTGTCACACCTCACAACAATCCCTCGCATGCTGATGACAATGACGTCTTTAACAATCCATTATACACGGGACGATATCAACGACAAGGGCACGGATACAATTACGAGGTGAGATTTTTCTCATTATATTATTAAAATTTCCAAGCCAGAATAAATTTTATAAAAGTTTAAAAGATTATTTGCAAATTGTTTAATGTTACAAAACAATTTTTTTAGAAAAAATTTTCAAACTATTTTTTTTGTACTTCTATTTTATTTATTTAAAAGAATTTAAAAAAAAAATTTTCAATGAATTTATAAACAAAAAAATGATTTTTTTATTTATAGGATTCAGAATTGGATACCAGTACTAGTCCTGGACCGGAAACGTCACATCGACCTCATACAATTCCACCTCCGGCTCCAGCCGAATGGGTACGCAAAGAACGTCTTGGAAAAAAAGGTGAATTTAGATATTTTTAAACTTCTCCTTCGCCTTCGAGAAAAATGCATAATCTTCAAGAGACAATGTGTAAATCTTATTTTGCAGAATATTATGAAATATTTTGCATATCATTGAAAAAATCCTAATCAATTTTTAAAAAATCTATTTTTAAAATCTGAGAAAATTAATTTTAGAAATTAAATTTTTTTCGCCAAGAAAATAAAAATCATATATAAATAAATATACTATTGAGTATGTTTCTAGATTTTTTTTAATACCGTTTTAAATCAATCAATTTTAAATTGTAAAATATTTTTTTATCGTGGATTATTTCATTTCTGTAAAATATTTCAATGTTAAATTATTTTGCGTCGTTAACATCGAGGGATTTCTTTCGATTTCGCCAAATCAAGTTGCTTCAAATGTATGTACATCTGTCGAATGTCCATTTTTTTTTTCTTTTTTTTTTTAATGTTGCAACATTGCTTATCCACGTCTTTGTAAATAAGGATAAATGTGCTAAATATCGTCTACACTGAGCAATTCTTGTATTTTTGGTGAAATATCGGGTACAGAACGTTCTAATTTGTTTTTATTATTGAAAAAAAAAAAAATTCAACTAAGAAAACTATTCTCTTTACTTCAATTTTATTCATCGATTTTAAAAATTCACATATTCGTGAATTTTTATCAATAAAGTAATTTTAAAAATATAAGAAAATGAAGAATCAAATAAAATAGATAGAAAAACATTTTGGAACGTACTGAAAAAAATTGTCTTGTGTTTTGTGAAATCTGAAACGAATGCTAATTTCTGTCTAGCCAAGTTTGTCCCCCAAAAAGAGTTATTTACATTTTTTTTTTCCTTCCACACTATAAAAGTAAAAAAATAAAATTATGTGTATAAATAAACAAATAATTTAAAGGGAGGAGGGAATGTAAATAATGCTTATTATATTTTGTTGATTGGAATTTTTTTACTCCTCGTAGAATTTAAATTACTAAGATCTGATAGAATTTTAAGAAACTTGAAATTTGTTTATATATATACACATATATATTATATTTAAAAAAAATATATATTTGAATTCCCAGGAAATTACATAATCAAACATAAAAAATGATTCCCATCTAATATGGTTGAATCATTTTGTTTTTATTTTACCAGTAGCATAATGCTTTATATATATATATATATTTACGTTAATAATTTTTAAGAAATCGAAATGTTATTAAATGTTCTGTATTTATCAGACTAACCAAATTTTCACTCCGTACTCAAATTAACTTGAAACTGTTATAGTAGTTGAGTTATTTTTATTTGTTAATACACAAAAAAGAAATTTCTAATTTCTGAAATTACATTTCAAAATGATTCAAAATATAATTTTCCATTCAATTATTCTGATAATATTATAATTGATTATATTATAATATTATAATGTAACTGAAAATTACAAATGTAATTAACTAATTATTGACTTAGTTAAAAATTACAAATGTATTTATTAAAATAATAAGAAAATTACATTAATATTGTAATTATTAAAAAAAAAAAGAATTATAATTACATTATTGTATTATTAACATTATTTTTAATCGTTTAATAAGTTGACAGTACCTAATTTTTTTTTGAAATACATAAAAACTAAATTGAACAATTTTAAGAAAATTTAAAAAATTATAATTTTATCTTTAAGTGACATTGTAATTATTAAATTTATCTACTTTTTTTCTTCTTCTATTGGTATGTGTCGAATTATATACATGTACCTCACAACTCTGTATTATTGGAAATTAGCTTATACTAATTACAAATTGACATTTTTTAAAAACAGTTTTTGATTTTTTTCATTCTTACACCATAGTTTCATTTTTAATTATGATTCTGAGCTTTTATTCTTGCTTCTTCTTTAAAATGAAATATTTTGTTTGTCAAAAGAAATTGTTTTGCGACTTTCTAAGTCAGCTTTTTCAAAAATTGTATTTGTGTTTCATATATAAATTGTCTTTAAAGAAAAAAAAAAAAAAAAAAACAAATTGTGTGAAAAATGTGGTAAGTAGATTTTTTGAATAAATAGTCTTCTTGTAAATAATTTATTTTCACATTTTTCATTCTGTTCTAATTGAAAAAAATTTATTTTTAATACAGACGAGCCAAGTATTTCAAGTGAGGCTCTCATTGACGATGTAATTTCACTTCCCGACAGTTTACATTCATCTGGAAGTGTCCAGACAGTCAATTCATGGGAATTGAATAAAAAACCATCTTCAAATTCTGGATCTGAATCATCAAAACCTCAGAATTCTGTGGATTTAATAAAAAATTCACAAAAACAATTAACAACTTGTTCTAAACATTATCAAAAACAAATTTCCGAACCATCTTTCAAAAATACCAAAGAATCATCGAAAATTATATCTCCACCACCTCCTCCCCCTCTTCCGGAATTTATTCCAAAATCATCTCTGGATGATAATAGAATGGGATCAATAAAAAGTACCAAAAGCAATATAAGCATTCGATCGATGCCTGAAGGTATTTTTATTTATTTTATATTATTAAATATTTATTTTTTTCTAGAAAAATAATAAATTGATAACAATTTTCAAAGGTTTTAGTGGTCATGACGAAGTGCAACAGGAATTAAAATCTGTATTAACAATGTTTCGTGAAAAAAAGCAGGCCAGAAATGCAAATTTAGAATTAAATGAAAATCTGGATCAATATTCTACATCGCGTGATGTTCAACATTGGTTGTCGAAAAAGGGATTTTCAGAAAAGTATATATAGTTTTTTTTTTCTGTGTAACTAAAAATAATAATTTAGTTTAATTTATAAATTAAATATTCATTTTAATTTTTAAATTTTTGCTAACAGAATTTCTAAGCACTTGAAAGGTATGACTGGAGCAGAATTATTAACTCTTTCCAGTAGAGAACTGGAGCATTATTGTGGAATAACAGAAGGAAAAAGATTAGACGATGAATTGACTCGTTTCCGAAACTCACCTAGTGTAGGATTTTTTATACATATATTTTAAAATTAATTAAATTAGTTTTAATTAATTAATTCATTGACATTAATTTATTTCTATTTTTGCAGCAAAAAAGTTTTCGATCTTCGGAATTAAAACGAATTTTGGGCGAATTTCGTAAGGAAGGATCAATAAGCAAGCCTTGACATAGAAAAAACTTTATAAATCTAATTTTATAGCTAATTAATATAAAAATTTATCATCGAATCTTTCGTAAAACTAAATCTATATAAAAAAAAATTAAAAATAAACTTTTTATAAAGCTGCTATTAGAAATTTATTTTTTAAAATATTTGAGATAGAAGAAGAAAAAATGAACATAATTTGTTACATTTAATTAGTATAATTTAATTTGATTTATTAGTTAAAAATTAATTAATCTAATTTTTATTTTTTTCTCTTTAGATAATCGTTAATTAAATTGTTATTTAGGATTGTAAAAATAGACTGAATGCGCCGATTAAAAAAAAATATTTAAATTAAGTAAACAGAAAAAAAGATTACTTATTTTATACATTTATTTCAATTTTTATACGTACAGATACAAATATTTGTCAACATTTTCTTTTTTTTTTTTTTAATGAAAAATGTTTCTATTACACTTATCGTAACATTCATTTTACCATGATCGAGGTCTCTTTATATATGTATATATATATATAAAGTTTCATTTTATAAAAGTTTTACCTTAATAAAAAATTGTAAATGCAATTTTTACTTTCAATTTAAATATTGACCTAAATATTTAAATTATATTTTTTAATTTATAATTTAAATATTCATATCACCTTTGAAAATTATTAGCAAAAATGTTTTATTATTTCTAACACGAAAATTAACAATTTTTCATTTTGATAAAACTTTATTTTAAAAATTACGATCTTTTTTTAGTATCTATATGTTATAATTAATAATCTTAAAAATAATTATTTTTTTGAAAATGAAAAGCATCGAATTTAGGGAAATTATTAGAAAATAATCAGTTTTTGTTAGGTTTACAAGATCACATTTATTGTGTTATTATTCTCAAGTAATTAACGATTTGATTAATCGTCAATTAAATTATGATTTTTGTTTTCTATTTCTAGATCATTGAAAGCATGTTTATGTATATCAAAAAACAGGGACACTTTTTGAAAAAGTAAAAATTAATGTTAATGTCCACAAACATTTTTTTTTTTTTTAAATTCAAATGCAATTAGTTTTCTTATTCTCTAATTTTTCTTATAATTATTAGTTTATCCTTATAAAATATGTTGTAAACTTGTCATTTTTTCTTTCTTTTTTTTAAACAAATAAATAATTCTAGACGTCTATAAATATTTTCTAACATACTTGCGTAGTATAAATTCTAGATTTTTAAGAAAAAACATTCTTACATTTATAATAGGTATATTTTTTTTTCTTGTAAAAAGCTACATTTTTATTTTGTGGACAATAACCTCCGCAATTTACAATTTTGGATTTTTAATTATATTTTTCAGACTTTTCAATTGACGTGAAAATCGGAAAAATGGTTTCTAAAAATTTGTCCCTGCATTTTTATGGACATTAATAAAACATCACAAATCAAGAGATTTTAAATTCTTTGCTAAGTTTTTTTTTTGATTCTTATATGATTAAATTGTTAGAATTTTTTTTTATCTCTCGACCGCTAATGTAAATTAATTACCCTTAAGTTGTTAATATTTTGTAAAAAGTGAATACTAAGTAGCAGCCTTATGATGAAGTACTTATTATTTTTTTTTTATTCACATAAACTGTAAATTGTTATTAAATATTCGATATTAGCTTTAAAATATATTAGACGCCTGAAAGTGTAATAATAATAATTATTAATTATTCTATTAATTAATTAATAATTAACTTTTGCAATAAATAATTATCAGCGTTTAATATTTTCAAAAGCTTCCATCTTTAAATTACATACATTTGGGATCATTAAAAACGTAATAAACTATTAAAGTAGCAAATTCCTAATAATAATAATCTTTATTTCAATTCGATTCTTTTTCTTAATTCATTTAATAGTATAAATTGATGTGCGTTACCAACTAAAAAACGTATCATCTACATTTTAAAGCAGTCTATGGTTTTCTTTTAGGTCTTAAAGTTGAAGTCAATTTTCATACAAAATTTTAGAATAAAAGTGTAAAAAAATCTATTTCAACCATTAAAAATCAATCTAATAACAAACAAAAATCAAACTGTTTTTAATTTTAAACAATTTAATTTTCTTTTGTTTTAATGTTTTTAAATTGATTTATTCATTTATTTTTCATTGCGTTCAATTATTATTATTATTGTATACAAACATGTATAAGAAACTTCGAATCTTTAAAATTTGTAAGAAAAATTTTTAAAATAATGTAACTTTTCTTATTGAACTAGATTTTTCAATGTTTATTTTATAAATTATCTTATTATCAAATTTGAAAACATGAACACATTGAATTTTTCAATTTTAGTCGAACTACTTTAAGACACTTTAAGATTACAAATATTGGTCTGAAAATTGAGAGGAAGTGATCTCTTTGGCTGGAAAATTCTTATAAAATCGCAATACGTATCAAAATTTTTTTGGCTTCGAATTTTAAATACTTCAATCGTTTCGAGAAAGATATGGTCACAATTTTTGGAATATATATATATATATTTTTTTAATAATTGTTAATAACGTGTTTTTTTTTGGCTCTTAGAGTCAAAATGCGTAAAGCGACTTTCCATTTCGATATTTGCAACAAGCTCTTTATTTTCTTTCCATTTACATTCCTTCCTCAAATTACGAATTTCTTAAAGTTAAATAATTAGAGAGCACATCAAATATTTCGTTAACTATTTTTCAAAAATAAAGTCAAATTCATTATTTTTTTTAATAGAATTCAACAATAATGAAAAAAAATTAACAGCAACAAAAATAAAAAAAAAAAAAATTGACCAATAAAAATTCTAAAAAAATTATTTAAATCCAATTTGCGTAATTATTAAATAAATAATAAAATGTATTTATTTTTATTAAATTAAAAACTAAATTTTGTAATGTGCTTCTAATTATTTTTGGTGATCACAAAAATTAATAAAATTCGCAACAATTTCAACGCATGGCATAAATGTGTGAAGTAAAAAAAAAAAATTTATTCCGTTATATAAAACTTAACATCGATTATTATTAATTGTTCGTTGAAAATTGTCATTAAATACAAAACTAAATTCTTGCAATAATAAGGCGCAGAAGTTTGATTATTTTTTCTTGTCATTTATCTTTGAAAAGATAATGCATAATCGCAAATTTTTCAATTTTATTTAAATTGCGAATACTAATCACGTAGCTTTGTCAACAATAATTAAACATTCAATATAAAATGTACAATTATACAGTCTAATAATTGCTTCACAATCTATAATAAAATGTATTGTTTTAACAATTCGTATATTTTAGAAGAAATAATCTTTTCTATTTATCAATTAATTTATTAATTAATTAACTTATTAAATAATAAATCCTCTAATTCAAATATATTTAGAGCCGATTATTTCTAAAGTTTAATAAACATTTTAATTATTTTTCATAATTATCGACAGTAAGAACAAAACTGGAGAAAAAATTTTCGTCAAATTCTATTTTTCTTTTAATTTCCGTTCGGTTTATTTTTTAAAATATCTTTTATTTAAACCGATTTTAGTTTAGAAATTCGAATTTTTGAATGTTCATTTAAAGTTAAATTAATTTTTATAAATTTTTTCACCAGCTTCAAGAATAACTGTACTATTTATACCATGCGCTGAAAATAACACAATATATTTTTTTTAATTATTATTATAGCAATATTATAATTAATTAGAGTAATAATTTTAATCAAGTCGACGTAAACGTAACAATTAACGATTATAAATATCCACATTAATTCTACAATCTGCTATTTACTAAATATCTACTACAACTTTGTGCTGTTAATAGATTACACAAAAAAAAAAAAACTTTCTTTACACAAATTTTTGAGAAATTTTCTCATTTTTTAAAATTTCTTTCTAACTTTGATGTTTCATTAAATAATATTCTAAGCGTTTATTTTTAAATACAAATAACTTAAGATGCCCATTATAATTTAGACCTTGAAACTTTCAGAATAAAAAATAAAAATTGCTTCTGCATTATTATTCGAAAAAAAAAAATTATCGCAATCAAAAATTAATTATTTACTGCGATCACTTAAATTTGCACAATTTTTTATATTATGAAATGATTCAAAGTCGACGTGAATGATTATAAGGATGAGTTTTAAAGAGAAAAATTGTTTTTTTTGGGAAAAAGAATTGATTACAAAGAGAGTTGTCATTTTTTTGTTTTTTTTTAAAGAATTTTCTAGCTGTAGAAAAATTCAAAAGTTACTAATAAAAAGATTCGAAAAGGATTAAATTTTCGAAGTGAAAAAAAAGTTGAGGAAGGGTGAGGTAAATGGGAGGAGATATAGATGTATATATATATTATTACATACCATCTTTTTTGTTTTTTTTTTTACAAATTTTCACGAAATTACCAAAAACCACCGGCACTGCGACCTCCTGGAGGATTATTAACCCGGATACACGCTCTTCGATCTTCACCTGTATCTTCTGTAAGAAAAAAAAGTCGTTTATTTTTTTTTTGTAATAGTTAAAATGGATTTTTTAAGATATTCAATTTTTTTTCTAATTTAAACGAACTTATTGATTTAAAAATGATTTGCTATATAAAATTTTGAATAGAAAAATTAATATTTAACGTACCGCTGATGGAGAAGGTAGTGTCCTGTAAATTCCTTTGACCTTCCATTCGTGGTCCTTTAGCTGATGGAGTGATAACTGCAGACTCTGGCAATGTTGGTGTACAAGAGATAGTGGATAATTTTGATCTTGGTGAATCGTGATTACCATTTGTATGATTCATTTTTGCAGCGTTTGCCGCTGCAGCTGCCGCTCTCGCGGTTTCTTTTGCTTTTTGAATGGCTGTATCTTCTTCGGCGTATCTTTTCTCGTCAGCTTCACTTCGAGCAATTCCTCTTAATCGCTAAAAAAAAAGAAAAGATTGTAAAATTAAATCTTTTTTTTATAATAAACTTTCAAAATGAATTAAACATTTTTTTTTAATTTTTGCTTTTACAGTATTATTTTTTGTTTTTGTCTAATTAAATGAAAAAATACAAAACTTACTTTTTCTCTGTCATTGACGAGGTCATATACATAAGATGGATAGACTGGAGTATCTATAAATTTTCCATAGCCATGAACAGCCTTCAAATTACAATCGTCAACACAAATACGTCCATTGACAATCACGTATTCTGGTACTCCATTAATTTCCATACCCTGGAAAAAGGAAAAGAAATCAAAGTGGAAAATTTACAAATTAGAAAAAGAACAAATTTTTTATCAATTTATTTTTTTTAAATAAAATTTCTTTATAATCGAATCAAAAAATTATTTATTTTCAGAAAATTTGTATTAAAACTTCTCGTGACTTTTCTAAATCTGTATTTTGTTTTTTTGGCATTAACGTTTATATTTTGGAAAAAAAAACATTCGGCAAATTTTACTTGCATATAAATACCTCAAAGATATTGAAGTCAACAGCTTGAACGTGAGATTGGGCGGAAATCGTTCGCTTCCTGCTCGGATCCCAGACGACGATATCAGCATCGGAACCAATGGCAATCACTCCTTTCCTTGGATATAAATTAAAGATTTTCGCAGCATTTGTACTTGTCACTGCAACAAATCGCATGGGATCCATAATTCCTGCATGAACACCCTTCTCCCAAACCACAGACATTCGGTCTTCAACTCCATTCACTCCATTTGGAATTTTTGTAAAGTCGTCCTTTCCAAGGGCCTTTTGCTCACTTGTAAAGGTACAATGATCACTTCCGGTTACTTGTAGTCCGTCTCTATATTGAATAACACAAAAAGTTACCATTATACAAAAATATACATTTCTATTATTATTTTAACATTAATATTAGTATTTTTCACATATAAATTTTTTTTAACATTTTTGCTATTTTTTTTTAAATTCCGTAAATTTTTTTGTTCAATTGTACTTTAATTTAAGACCAATTATAACAGTTTTCCTTTGATCCTTATTTCTTTTTTAAATTCCGCTCCTCTTTGGAAAATTATTTTTACTTACTGAGCTAATTGTTCAATCAGGTAGGCCGGAGTTGTTGGATCCGGTCTCAAAGGAGGATTTGTAATAATACATCTGGCTTTAATGATATCTTTGCCATATTGATCAGAACCATCGATTCCGATGCTACTCGCTAAAGGTTCTCCATAAATGATGTAACCATCGGATTTTTTCGCAGATATCACATCTGCTGCCGATTTGCTCATCACCGCTGTCACGTACAGGGGACAATTCACCTAAACCCGATAAACGTTTTTTGTTTTCAAAGTTTTCGAGAAAAAAAAAAAAGTTTTCTACTTATTTTTTTCTTAATTTTTCCAAGTGAATTTTTCTATTTTGTAAATTTTTTTCTCAATATTTTTAAATGAATTTTCTAATTTCAATTTGAAAATATTTTTATGTATTTTTAATTTAAAATTAGAGGCTGAAATTTTTTTTTTTTAATTTTCTAGTATTTAAAACAACACATTTCTTGAATTTCGTGAAATTAAATTGAGAATATGGCAGATTGGGACTAAAGAGAGTATGTCAAGATAGTCAATGACCTAAATTTATGTCTCACACATATTCTCTGTTTTGGAAATGAGAACTACCAAAATAGAAAACGACCTGTGTGATTTGGCACATGAAATTTGGTGTATTTTCGACTTTTGTCAGGGTTATCATTTTTTTTTAATTTTCAATCGTAGATAACAAAATAGAATTAAAATTCTAAACTCGTTTAATTAATTCCTGTATTCTTTTTTTATATTCTTAAAGGTAAATAAAAATGGTCAAAGAATATGAGAGAATGATCAAAGACAAGTATATTCAACGGATGTAGTAACCGCGTGGGATTTAACTAGAGCAATGGAAAGGGATGATTTATAGACTTTGCAAATTACTAGGGCGTTTCAGTCAAACTAAAGTGAGAATTTAGTTTAATCAATATACATTTTATTTTTTTCATAACTTTCATTTCAATTATAAAAACTGTCAATTTGTTGCTTTAAATTCACTAAAAATTTGTTGTTGATTGAAAATAAATTGTATTAAAAATAATTAATAAAAAAATTCAATTATAAAAATAAAAAAATTACCCTATGGTTTTATTTTACAGCCACAATTAAAATATTTTATTCTGGATTCGAATATATATATATATATTTTTTTTTACAATTCAATAGCTAAACCAGATACTTTGCGTGTTTTTATTAATTTTAAAAAGAAAATAATAACTGGATTACAACCGCAATTCCAACATTCTGATCGAGTGCACGCATAATTATCATAATCCGATTTATCTTCTTTACGGTATGTAAGAAAAATTTAATAATTTTAAAATTATTTATCTAACGTTTACTGTTACAAAAAAGAAATATTTCATTTTTTAAACTGCCATATTCTCTATTATAATTTTAATCAGCAATATCGAAATAGAAAATTCAAATGTAATTTTACTTTTTCAATTTCTCAGAATTAATTTTTATAAATAATTTTATTTTGTAAATTTTTAAATAGCTATTTCATAAATTAATCAAATATATTTTGTAAATTCAAACTCTTTTTCTTTTAGTTCGATAGTGAAAATTATTCTATAGTTACTACTAAGAAAGTAAACATCGAGTGATATTTACGAAAGCGAGACTAGCATAAATTCTATAATATATAGTGGAAAAAAAAATGAATTCGAATCGTGCTTCGGGTGCAATAAACATTCCCAAAAATATATATATATCAAAGAATATAAAAATGCGAGAACGAAGGAAAACTGAAATAACAGCCGATAATCATCATGCTCTTAAAAATACATCAAAAGCTATAAATTAACTAGCAAATAATATTAAAAAATGCTAACTTAATACACATAATATTTAAAACTATAGAAATTATTATGAAATAAATAATAATTTCGTAAATTAAAATATAATTACATTTAAATTAATAATAGTAACAATGCTTTATAATTTGTTTTGTAAATTTACTATAAATTTACATTAAATTGTCATTCATAAATTTTAACATAAAGAGAATCTTTGAATCAAAAGAAAAGATTATTTAAACAAAGCAGTTTTCTCCCCTTTTTAAAAGAAATGTGAGAAATGCTCGTAATCTCAACTTTAAGTAGCGAGAATTTATGTCAGTATGTGAAGAGTTTTTTTTTTAAGAAAAAAAAGTTTTCTTCTTAACTTAATGTTCTTTTCTTCATAGAAGTTGTGTGAAAATTCGGGAAAGTGGAACACTCAAGGAAAGCGTTTCTTTTTCCATCAAGTATAAAAAAAAACTCACACATCAAAGTTCACTTGCAATAAAATAAAAGGGAGTCTAAAAACTATTAAATAAATAAACCTAAGAAAATGAATAACAAAAATAATTTAATTTTCCTTAGTTTAGTTTAGTTTTAATCAATTTTATCTCAATTTTCATTTAATTTGTACTTGAAGCTTTTTACAATAAACTCCCATTAACAATGAGACGTTCTTTTAAAAATCCATCTTCATTTTCAGAAAACAATAGTTATTCCCTATTCCTATTTTCAAGTAAATTACTACTGTCTGAATTGTATACTATCCGTAACTACTGACTGGTGATTTCTTCCCGGTATAATTTACTTTTTCTTCTAAAGTACATAGAACTCTTATTTCAAGTTATTTGCCTTTATAACATAAAATTAAATTTTTCTAAAAGAAAATTAGAAAAAAAGAATTAGGCTAATAAAAATAATCAAAAAAAGGGTTTTTATTTCTCATTTAAAAATAAAAAAAAAAAATTTATTTCAAATATTAATTAATTATTGGTTTTAAAAGAAAGTAATTTTCTTTTAAATTTACTCTATATATATAAAGTAATTACTCTTGTTTTCTTAATCAAGAATTCTTTTTCCTCGCAGGTATTCTCAACCCACTTTGTCCAGTTTAGGCATCGTGAACTTGATTGCTTCATTTTCTAAATTTATTTTCTATTCCTTAATTAATTAAAGTATTTTTCAATTGCAGTGAAAAGCAAAAAAAAAAAAATAACTGAAAAATTAAAAAAAAAATTGCTTTTTAAAAAATGTTTTTCCTTAATTCACAGTATTCTCTTTCATTAAATTTTTGAATGCTTAATAATTAACTGAAATAATATTGTCATGCATAGGATAAAATTAAATCAATTTTCATGTTTCTTGACCTAAGAGAAGATAATTCTCCTTACCTTGAATGAGGACCGTTTGGTTTTCTCTTTTTTTTTTTTTTTTAAAGTACAAAAAAAAGGGGATATGGATGAAGGAACCCTAATTTGATGATTGTTGGTCATTAGTTATGGCATATATATGTTGAGAAGGGAGAAAGAGAATATATCTTAAACTCACGTGGCTAGTTTGGTAATGAGAGCTCGTGGTGTATTGGCGTCCGGCCGTAACGGAGGGCTAAGTACGTGTCCGGCGGCATGTCTCCAGCACTTGTGCTTATAGTTGGTACCATCAGTGCCTATTGCTGCTGCTAGCGTTTCGCCCCAAACACAAACGCCACGCTTCCGGGCAACCTCAAGCGCTTCCGCTGCGCTACGACTCATCACATGCACTACGTACAGCGGACACTCGACCTAAGCGTGCAAATTATAAAGCTCTTCTTTTCTAGCCATATACATATTAGATACTCTATTTTAATATGCACGTGCAATATTTCTACATTCCAGAGCCACAAACGTTTAGAAATAAAATAGAAACAACTTCTAAAAAAATTAATTTAAAAATTACTTCACAAATAAATATTTATTTAAATTATCTAATTTTTATTTAATTTACTTAAAAAATAGAAAAAATAAAGCTAGAAAAAAGTTTATAATTGAATTTCAATTTAATTCTTTTGTCGAAATAATTTAATTACAATTTATAATCAAAATTATAAAATTCTCCCTGACGAAATTTTGTTAAAAAAAAAATTTTTTTTTTCCATTTTCGTGGGAGTGTAATGTTTTGTGAAATAATATACACTTATTCAAGGTATGTATATATGATAAAGTGTATGTGGTATTGAAATACGCGCTCTTGTGTCATACGTGCGTAAACATGACCTACAGTTTTCCCAATAGGAGAGGGTTCTAAGAGTATCTTGAATTTCTCGAGACCCACGATCGTCTTACCACATGCGTGAACTTTACTGTGACGTAATTATCAACGACGTAATAGCCTCACAGAAGCTCTCTTTCAAGTGGTCAAAAGAATGCTCTTACAAAGTCTATAATTGACTATCTCTAAATTTAAATTACCATACTAACTATACGTAAAAGTATATATGAATGAATTTCTTCAATCTTAGTTTACTCAATATCGTATTTCACTATATATATACTTTAAAGTGTATTTTCACAACTCTTTTTTTTCATTCAATTTTTAAAATGTTCCATTATTTTCGTTATTTTATATTAAAAATTGTTTTTTTAATTTTTCTTTCGTGTTTTAAGTCAAAACAAATGTCTATAAACTACGAAAAACATTGTTTTCTTTATCATCATTTTTTTAAGACGAAAAATTTATTCTAGTTTAAAGTAAAATTAGATATTTGTTCCTTTAATATTGTATTATTGATAATTATTTAGATTAATTGGTATTTTTTCATATATATATTATCTTGTACAATGAAGAGGAATAATTGAAAAAATCAATTGTAAAAATATCATGAACTAGTTTCACGTTTTCTAATCAATCTGTGCTAATGTTTCGGCTCTGGAATGCGTTGATATAGATAACGACATTCAATAAACATTTGAATATACAATTAAAAGCTTTTCTTATAAAGGCAAATTAATAGAAAAGATATACATAATTGCACGTGAAATTTAAAATAAAAAGAAATTACGAATAAGAAATACAAACAAAACTGCGAAGAAGAAGAAGAAGAGAATTAAAAAGAAAATTAATTATATTGAAACAAAATGAAATCTCAATAGTTAATGTAAAATAATTTTTTTCAATGAAAAAAACTAAATACAGAGATGATTAAAAGTAATTTAAAAATAATAAATTTAAAAATCTTAAAATAATTTTTGCTGTAAAATGCATATCTACTGTGAAATCAAACACTTATTATATACTTATCTTATCAAAATTTTACTGTAATTTTCTAATATCACAACATAAGCTAATGTCTAATTACTTTATAAGCGTGATATCAAGAATGGTCCAATAATAATTACAACATCAATTTAAATTAAAAAAATAAAATAAAAATAAAATATCGACTATATAGAAGAAGAAAATAAACTATTTTTAAAACAGTTTTGTGTGTACAATAAAAGAGAGAAAGAGAATGAGACGTGATATAAATATATAAAGAATAAAAAAAGATTTTGCAACGGTTTACCTGGTTAGCTATGACGCAAGCTCTGTTTACTGCTTCAGCCTCGACTTCTTCGGGACGGGACATCTCGTGACCTTCCGGTCCAGTTACTCCAGCAGCCAATAATTTTTTCGTGTTCTAGAGACATCATTATTATTATTATTATTATTATTACTAATCTTAATTATATTTAGTAATTAATTAATTTTAATTGTTCACTAAATAAATAATTTTACCTCGGCAATAATATCACCATTTTCAGCGTGGACCATTGCAACTGCTCCTAAACTTTTACAATAAGCAAATGCTTCAATTAATTCCTTATCTCTTAACATAAACAAATCTTTGTAAGCCATGAAAAATTTGAAGCTATTCACGCCATGATCTCTTGCCAATATTGCCATTTCTTCTTTTACCTGTAAAAAAAAAATATAAATCATTCAAAAAAAAGATAAAATAATTTTCCTAAAATTAAACATTTAATTTAACAATTAAAATTTCATATTCTAGGAAAACATTTATTTTAGATAAAAATGTCTTGCTAAGATAATAATCAGTTTATATTTATACTACTGAATTCATCTCTATTTTTTCTTTTTTTTTTGAAGGCATAAAATCTTTTCATCAAGAATTTTTTTTTTTAATATTACACATAATTTTGTATAATTTTATTAAATTATACAAAAACAACAAAATTTGTTAAACTATTGATGTGAACTTATCAATCAATTGAAATGTGGGTTAAAAATTTCTTTCATTGAATTGAGCTCACACTGCGAATGTCTATATCGTAATAGTAAACGTCTTCACAATAATTCTCAAGATCTTGTTCAAAGCATATTAGGAATAAGAGAAAGTGTCTACAATATTTATATATATGATACAAAAAATTAAAAAAAAAAAAAAAAAAAAATCCACCGTTCTGGAATGTACTTCAATGAATTATGAGAAATTTCTCAAGTTGCAAAAAAATGTCATCTATTTAGCGACAAAAAAAAGTTGTCTCATCAAATGAAAAAAAAGTGTCATTATCCATTTAATAGTATTACTTGAAATACCTGTTGTCTTGAAAGTTGTCATGATACTCTTAAACAAATTGTTTTCATTCCAAAAGAAATTTATTGTAAAAGATATCATAAAAAAATTTTATTCTTCAAAGAATATAAAAAGACACTACCTTCAGAAAATTATAAAAATATTATATAAAATAAGAAAAGTTAAATAAAAACAAGAAAATTAATTAAATAAAAAAGATCGTAATTTTTAGCGAAATAAAATCAATAAAATGAAAACAAAATGATTGATAACATTGAATAAAATAATAAGATTATTATTAAGGAAGTTTATAAGAGACAATTAAGAAATTTATTACTATCACAATTAAAGAAAAATGATTTCTGCTTGAAGAAATTCGAAAATTGAAAGAAAGTTTATTTTTTTATATAAAATGTGAAATTTTGTTAAACCGATTATTTATAAAATAAAGTTAATTAAAAAACAGACAACTTATTTTATGTTTAAAAAAAAAATTACAGCTCTTAGTGTAATATTACAAAAAAACCATGAAAGATGGATAATAGACAGTAATTTTGTTAAATGTAAAATTATGATATTATCATTCCAATGTACAGTAAAACGTACAAATGCCTTCCACTTGAAGTTGCTGCTAAGAGATGAATGTTTGCGGTGAGTCTTAAAATTTCAGATTCTGTGCTAAATCAGCTGTCAAAATAGAAGGTGTCATCATCGGTCATCATTTGAAAAAGTTTGTTTTGGTGAGTGAAAATTGTTGGTTAGCAGTTTTTGTGCGTAATTTGATTTTAAAGAAATCATTCCGAGTGTTAAACTAATAAAATATGTTTGGCAATTGAATATTTGTGATTTAAAAAAGGATTATACAATCAATTGCAGGGGTTGCAGGTAAACAACATTTAGGTTAAAATATAAAAACAATAACAAATAATTATATTTTATATTTGGAAAATAAAATAAATAGTCCTCTTATTATTTTAATATTTCTAAATTTTGTAAAAATTAAATACTTTTTTGAAAATCAAAACATCATGCTTGTTTAACGTCGAAAATCCGTGACAAAAAATTTAATTTGAAAAAATAATTATTATTTCAGATTTGCGATAAAAAGTTTAAAGAATGAATTTCTTAAGAGATTTAAATATCATTTAATATTTAATACAAAAACAAAATTCAATTTAAAAAAAACTTAAATATCGGTAATTTTTTTCTCATTTTAAATTGAGAATGAAAATTAAAACCCCATTTTTCAAAGAATTAATCTTTCTTCAATCACGCAGATATTATTATGAAATTTTAACGTTGGCCAAGTTGACTCGGTAAATGTGGAATCAGTCTGAGGAGTGAAACTCGCCAAATTCGTGGGATCAGAAAGATCGCGGTTTTCAATTGCAAAGTTATTTCTGTAAACAATTTTGAATAATTATAAAAAGTTCAACGTAATTTTAATTTGTTTTTTTATTATTCAGTAGTAAAAAAATTGATAATTTTATTGAAAAATATATTTATTTATTTAGGAATTTTATTATTGTGATAAATTGTTTAAACTCTTATTTTGAGTCTCAAATTAAACAAATCCTGATAAGAAAATTCATTGTAGAAAGAATGGAAAATCATTGTAATAAATAAAAGTTTTATGTTTAGCATACAGTTGATTGTTTTATTAGACAAATTGTTTTAAAAATTGAGATAAAAAAAAGGTTGATAATAAGGTATAAAATATTCAACAGTGATTATTGCCTTAAAAAGTCTTTTTTCTTCCATAAAAAAATTAAATTAGAATGAAACACATATTCAAAAGTGTATAACGGTGGCAAAGTTTGATTCCATTTCGTCTCCATCATCATTTATCTTGAAGGCATTAAATCTGAGTTGCGTGGCTCTGTTGCTCTTCTTCTAATAGCCGTTTTAAAGAGTCGACTTTTTGGAGTACCGTTATCAACCATCCTTTAAGATCGTTACCTATTTCTGCCATAAGAAGTGCTGATTGGAGGGCAAGGATTTTTCGCTTTTTCTGAAGCTGGGGAAAATATTTTTTTAAATTATTAACTTTCAATTTAAATGTAATATTCGTTTATTTATAAAAATAAATAATAAAAGAAGAATATTTTTTTTCAAATACAAAAACTCACCTTTTTGTCGGGTGGCCTCTGTGAATTCTTGACAGACAGACAGACACTTAATATTTTGTCCATCCTCCATCGTTGTCAAGGACTGCCTGTAGTCGTCTCGGCATAGAAAGAATTGCGTTTGAAACGACTTCTGGCGTATCTCCTATTTCTTGCCAACTTCTCCAGGCGTGGTTCATCAGGTCTTCCAAATTTCGGTCAGCTCCTGATTCCCATTTCCTGACCACCATTGCCCATAAATTTTCGATGGGGTTGAGATCTGGCGAACGCGGAGGATGAGGAAGCAAGGTGATTCTCGGGTGTCGCTCAAACCAATTCATCGTCCGATTGGCCGTGTGGATCCTGCTATTGTCTTGTAACAGCTTCACTTCCTCATACTCGTCTTCGGGGAACAACCGGTTTACGTACGGCAGAAAGTCTTGTTCTAGTAATTCAACGTATGCCTGCGAATTGAATCTAGGGCCTACGTCCCTTAATACGCCAACTCCGTAGACAGAGGAGCTGCCCCAAAAATTGCAAGAAATGCGCCCGCTTCTGTTCTTCCTCACAACGCAGTTCTCTCGTAACCGGCTTTCATTGCTTCTCCAAACCAGAGTTCGACCATCTTCGGACGATTGAAAGGACTTCTCATCCACACAGATGGTATTTATCCAAAATTCCTCTGGTTCGTTAAGATATCGTTCAGCGTACTCACGACGTTGGGTTCGATGGTCCTCAGTAAGCTCCCATTTCATCGCTGGGCGACGGCTCCGAATCCCCATTTCATTCAACTTTCTACGGATGGTATCATTGCAGACTTCTGGTTGAACAACGTTTACAAAACGTCTCGTAGAAGAAAATGGATCATGAGCAGTGAAGAATTCGTTTATCACTTCATCCTGAATTAGTGTCGTTTTCCTCGGAGGATGGTTGTATTTTCGGTGATCGGCCAATGCTAGGGGTCCGCCCTGTGCATATCTTTTTATCCAAAGCCTTACAGTTTTCATGGAGCAGCCGACTTGCTGGGAAATTTCATCAGTCCTACTCCCTGCTTGATGCATTCCAATTATCAAACCTCGCTTTACTTCTGAAAATTTTAATAAACATTATTATTAATTATTATTATTAATTATTATTATTAATATTGATTATTATTAATTATTAAAAATTATTATCATTTTATTTTTATTATTATTAATTATTATTATTAATATTGATTATTATTAATTATTAAAAATTATTATCATTTTATTTTTATTATTATTAAGGGGAAAGACCAATGAAATTTTAGTCGATTGAAATAATTGTTCTTAAGAATTGTCTTTTCTTGTCATTTTTTAAGATCTAAAATTATTATATTACTATTAAAATTTTGAAAATATTAATTTTGGGCATTTCAGAAAATTTATGACTTTGAAAAAATTGAAATTTTACAAATTCCAGGCAATTGATTGATTGGATTAATGAAAAAAGCATATAAGAAATTCGTCGATGAAAAATGAGGAAAATTGTGAAAGCATTTAAATTTTGAAAAAAATTACAGTAAATTTTAAATCGATCAAATTGACCTCGTTGAGGAGTAACAATTTTTTTGACATTTTTTTCAAAACCTGAAATTACATTCCACTATAAAAAAAATATTATTTTTAACTATTTCACAAATTTTTTTAATTTTTCAAAATTTTCATTTTTGGAAAAAATCAAAATGTTTTCAAAATCCATACATTTCATTACTTAGAACCATGAAAAAGGTGTATGAAACATTCGACAATGACAAATAATGAAAATTGTGAGAATAGTTCTAATTTTGATTTTTGGAAAATTTTGAGTTTTATTTAAAAAATTGTAAGCAAATTATTTTTAAACTTTTCACAATATATTCTATTTTTAAATACTCAATATTGGCAGAAAAAAATTGAGAACCTTAAACAACATCAATTTCCATTGATTAAAATTTCGCCAATTCAGTAAATAATTAAATAAGTATTACACTTACCGCTTAAATTTGAGAAAATGTTTCGCTCCATTTTTACAGGCAATTTCGTAGTGAAAGAAAAGCAAAAAAGCTTGGAGTATAATTATAAAGCAGAACTCGATCTGATTGATTTTATTCTCAGGTAGATCCACTGTTGGTGGGGCGGTCTACACGTTTTTCTGAATATCTTCCTCGCTTTCCTTTTCAATGTTCTCAAAATTCATTAAAATATTATTACTGCTTAGAAAATTTTTATTTTATTTTTAATTTGTCAAACTTCAGTCAAAATGGCTGAAAAAAATGACAAATGATGATAGAAATGAAAATAAAACAAAAGAAT